CCTTTTCAGAGGCAAACAATGAAATGGAAAAGGAGCTATAGCTTTGACATTATCATCTCAGAAGAAATCTTTTTTTATATTAAGGAATGTGTTAGCTATGTTGCATAGCTTCACTAATTAAAATCCTAGTATATAAAAACAACTACTTTTTATGTATAGCAAGATTGCAAAAGTAAACATCAAGTGCTGCTCTAAGGTCAACCATTCCATGATTATTAGTTCCCCCCCCCTTTTTTTTTTTCAATCATTAGCAAGCAGACACATATCAGACCTTTCCTAGTGAGGAGAGGATGTTTTCTATTGACTTTGTCAAGTAGATGATCCCCTACTATGAAGTAATTTTTTGGACCAACATACTGCTTGCAGTTGGAGTGATAAAAGCAATTTTTTTCGAGCAGGTAAATAATGTAATAGATATGGTTTTAGATAAACTGTAACAACTAGTACAGTAAGGTAATAGAGAAAAATTTGTTGCTCACTTTATGAGGAAAAATAGTTGTCAAGTAATTAATTGGGTTTGTTTTTTAATCTCAGTGTTATCCTTCAGTTTTTATCACGGCCTATGAAAACGACCAACGGGTACCACTAGCAGGAGTTTTACAGTATGTTCAGAAACTTAGGAAGGCTGCACTAGATCACGCCAGCAGAACAGGTAAGAAAGGTAAGAATAAGAATATTACAGACATGGAGTTAACTAAACCAGAATATTAGTAGTCATGTAATTAAACATCATAGAGATTGATTCCTCCTTAAATACATTCATTTGTGCAATACAATACAGTGTCTAAAGCTCTGAGGTAATTTGTTACCTGCAAAGGTGAGGTGTGGAGCCCTCCTGACAAACAGATAAAGCTCAGCTTCTCAGATGCATTCTTCAGAATATTAAGAGGGACCAGATTTCTCTAAAAACAGTTTGCCTAAAAACAGTTAAAACCATCTGTTAATAGTGACAAATCACAACAAGCTCAGGAAACCCTCCTGAGATTTAGAAAAAAAAAAAAAGATTGACAGAATGAGAGTGGGGCTCAGTCTTTCCCAGGCCTCAACATATGGTGATTGTTGGACAGGGCTAGGTCAGTCTGCACTGTCTAGGCCGACTACCCATACAGTCAGAACACAGTTCTCAACAACACATGGATAAACCCCTTATTTTTGCTGCTCCTGTAAAACCCTACTTTTCCCAGCTGCTGAAACTGCAGGTGTTAGTCCAAATTAGAATGACAGCAATGCCAAAGGCATAGACACTTTTATATCTGAAACTTAACGCTAGCTTTGGGACTGTTCCCAGCAAAAGGGACATTATTTTCTTATTTTCCAGTACCATCTGATCTGGGGAGAGGCTTTTCCCATCAGTACCAAAATAGATCTTGAATTAGCTTTTCTAAATTTCATTATGTCCCTTCTCTACTAGCAGCACAACTGTTGTGGTTGAGAAAGGCCAGCAAATCCTCCAAGTGCTGTTGCAGTCTTTGCTCAGAAAGAAGAAAAGCACATCTTTCCAAAACAACTCAGAGAGAACAAATATATAGGTTCTCTCAAACATACACGCTAAAGATATATATAAACATTTTTCAAATCTGTAATTAATAGAAATACAAATAATTAATCCAGCAAGCCCCTATGTGTTTGTTTTAAGGAACAACAGGAATTTTCTCAGGACAGGAGGCACAATTATCTATCCCTAAACACTTCACATCCCCACTTAACCTTTTCTTTTTGTTCATTCAGTGTCAAGTGACCACTAACTTTATTGTTCTAGGAGACTGGGTCCCTAATATCATCTTAGACATCCAGGCAAGTGGCAGTCATTGTGATTCATCTTGGGAGGATTCACTGAATGAGGTACGTTCCCTTTACTGTGCATATCCATAACGTGCTGGGGGAGTTCTGCCCTCACTTGGTACTCCAGCCTCAGCAGTTCATGCAGTCACTGAATGTATGTTTGAAGTAGTAAAAGAAAACAAAACAAAAAAACCAACACAAACCAAACAACCAGTACCTGATAGACTGAAGATTGCTTTTGCAACCTTTTAAATGTATTGCAAGAGCAACTGCTTTTTTTAATATATATACACACAGACATAGACAAGCCCAGGAAGTTTTTAAATATATGTAAAATTATATATATTTGTATATGTAGAAGAGCCAGTGACAGAGCCACATCATTGAACCTCATTGTGCCTTAAGTCTCAAAATAGTATTAAACTCCCACTGCAGTGTGTCAAGAGCTCTAACAGAAAGGTTCTAAGTTATGAAAAATGTTGTTCCAGCAGGAAGTCTTGCACTGTAGAGTATTAAGTGCTTAAAATTGTCATACTGTTTATTTACTTCCATCTTCTTCATGAGTAAAACATATGTAATGGGGTCTGATCTAAACATTTTGAAATGCATGATCCACACTTTCAAAGGAGGCTACTACAAGTAGGTTTCAACGTGTTGTACTTTGTATGAGCATGTACGAAAAAATCAGCCACCTGCCAAAAGCTGACCTATTGTTACTGTTATCTCAGACTATTACAGTTGGATGCCTATTTTATTACTGTTTGTAATGGTTTGAAAGCAAACCAGTGAGACACTCCAAGTCAGAAATAAAATTTAATAGGAAAAAAAATAAAAGAAATGCAAAGGTACAAAGAAAGACCACAGACAGAGAATACAACCTGACACTGTTGGTTAGGGTGGTGGCAGCAGTCCAGATGAAGCAGTGATCTCGTAGAAAAGGTCTGGTAGCTCTTGTCCTCTGGAAATCCAGTGGCTAAGGGCCCCCTTTGCTGTCTTGAACCCCAGTTTATATCCAGGTGGGAGCACTTGGCTCCTCCCCCTGGGCAGAGCATCTCACAATGGGTTGAAGTCATTCTGTGCATCATGCAGTGGGTCCTTGATTGTCCATTAGACAGAGATCCCTCCTGGGGGGAGCTCTGTATGAGTCATGGGGCAAGGCATGGATGGGCCCATGAACAGGGAGGACTCCTCCTGCTGGGTGTGAGGTGTTAACAGGGCTGTGAGGTGTGTCCTGGGCAGCTGCTACCCATGATTTGGTAACAGCTCATGAGCAATGACAGAGAGAGTATAGAATATACACGTTTTGGTTCTACCCACATAATGATAAACTGGTCCCAGCCCCTGTAACCATGACACTGTTAATTTTAACAAATCCTAGCAAAGGTTCTGGCAATTATTCCCAAAATTAATTCTTCCAGGAAAAGCCTCATTCTGTCTTAGGACAAGGTATTCTTTAGCATTAGTATGGGAAAGGAGATGATTAGAAAAGCTGTGCAAAACCCCAAAGGTTTATAGCAAAACATTTTTAAATATCTTAATAAAGTATTTTCATCATTTTAGGTTGCAAGACACCTGGCTTTTCTTAGCAAAGAATTTGAGGAAGTATGCCATACGAAATCCTGCAAATAGGTAACAAAGGCACTGACCATTCAACCAACTTCTGGTCAGATTTTTATTTATGTGAAAAGTGAACAGCATCTCCAGAGGATCTCTCCTCTCATATCCCTGCTCTATGGGCATCAGCAGACAAGAAGATCAAAGCTGGGTGTGGCATTGGCTTAGCAACATGCAGAGGAAGAGCTGAATCCACCCTGCTGGCCAGCACAGCAGCTCCTGCCTGCACCACTCCTTTGCTCAGTGCAGTTCTGCTCGGGGAAGCAGGCAGCATGAAGGCATCCACTTTGTACAGGCAGCCTTGCCAGCCTAAGACCTGTCTTCCAAGACCACGTTCTACAGAACTAAAGAAGACTAAAGTCTTCTAAAACTAATTCCCATGCACAGGTGATGATGAGTGTTGCCCCTCTGAGCTACACAGCAGCCACAGTGCACTGGTCAGACGGTGCACTCAGGCTGCAAAGAAGAAATGGACTCTCAAGAATACAAATTTTAGCAGAACACTTTCATCTATGAGTAAATTCAAAATCTTGTAGTTACCTTACCCAGCATCTTAAAAAGAAGGTGCCAAAGTCCCTCCATAAGACAAGAGGAGTGCCCCAGAAGGAGATGCCAGTCTTTCCAGAGGATGAAACCAGTAACACTGCAACACTAAAGCAGCCCGATTCATGGCTCAGCTAAACCTCTGAGCAAGGCACAAAACTGCCACAAGTTGCTTGTTGAGCCAGCAACTGGTACAGACAGTCAGTGGAAAATACACTGTACCCATAAGGTCCTCAAACCAAAATGGAGTTCCCTAATCACCCCCATGTGCAAAACAGACTGCCCCAACTCAAATGCTTGTCCTTCCTTTGTGTCACATAAGCCACTGCAGGGGCACCAAATGCAAATCAAAGCACACATCAAGGAGTGTCACATTCAGTAGAGTTCTGTCAGTTGCTCACTCTGAACTCATGTCTGTACACCTCACCTCAGACTTGGGGTGGAAAAAGAGAACCCATTTGCACTCTTCTTCAACTCAGCAGTGGGGTGGGAGAAACAATTGGAAATGCAGTCCTGAGTGTAGAATTGAACATAATACCTGTATTTTGTTCTTTTTCTTACCAACTTTGAGGATAATGGGAGATGTCAGAGTTGAGAGAAGAGGTAAGCCATCACAGCTTCATTAGCCTTGCTTGCTTTTCCCTACTTTAATACATACTCCAACTCCTTTACAATAAGTTTTACAAATCTACAGACTTTTAAATAACAGTTCCTATGAACTGCCTCAGGCTTTGGATTCCACAGGACCTTTTAACTACCAGCAGCTGTAAGGCCAGAACCCAATAACTGTTCTCTTTCCTCACAAAACTACACACACCTCAACAGGACAGTGTTTTAGGGTGGGTTTACTTCTCTTCTCCACAGACACTAAGGGGGAAGTTCATACCATACTTTTTCATCACTGGTACAGATGCAAGATAACTGGGTATCTGTTTTATTTTTCATGGTGTTTTTGTACACAAGTAGTTTTAAAAGCCAAAGAAAACAGAAAATTTTTATCTTTTCTCTGACACCAACATTTTATTAATTAACAGGAACACTTGATTTTTCTACTCCTGCACTTAACAGTTCACGTAGAGTAAATTGAAGGCACTGGAGTAACAAGCTTTTTCTGCCACAAAACAATTTCCTTGAAAAGCTTCCATAGTATGAACAGGATTTGCTGTTGTATATTCAAGGACCAGGCCTTCTCCCATTTCAGTTTTAATTAGTTTGGTATCGACAGCTTTACCAGTATTGCTAAAATTAGTACTTAGTCTTACAACAGCTTCAGATGGAAGGTTAGGAACTAGAGCTTTCAGGTCTATTGTTGATTCCTGCCCAAAATTGAGAACCATCATAAAGGCTCTGTCTAAGCCCTGCAGTTCCCTCACGTACACGAACACGTTACTGTCGTTCCAGACGTAGCACATCCAGCCCCGCTGAACAGGGAGCTCGCTGCTGCGAAGTGAGCTCAGCTCTCTGTACAAATTCAGGCTCGAGTTGGACCAGGCCATCTGGATCTGCAACAGTCAGCATCAACAGGGTCATTTCTTTGCACTGGATGCAGAAATACTGCTTACCTCTCACACCCACACAGTCTGAAAACACACCTATTAGAATTCCATTTTCACAACTACCTCACTCCAAATTTGTCTGCAAATTCCACTGAAAAACTGCTTTTTCTCATCCACTCACTTGGCAGTTGTGAAGTGGCAGAGACAGGTTACCAGGTGTGACAATTTACCCAGCACTTTCTTCCTCCCACAGTGTCCTTGTAGTACTGTTTATCCAGGGGAAAGCCACAGCCACCCAAAGCTCAATACTGAACTTTTCTCACTGAGCTTCACCTACTTGAAGTCACAGGGTTGGTTTCACGTTTTACATTTTTCCTGTCTTAGACTTTCAAGCTTCACTTCTGACCAGCACTGTAGGTCAGCAAAATCTGTTTGATTTGCTGCTCTACTTCTGCTAGAGATGGTCTATGCTGAATTCTTGTTAGGAGGCCAGTGCTTTCTATAGTAATATTTTTTTTTTCCCGAAGAGACTAGATTTCAATTTAATATTAAAATTATTAAAAGGATCTTAAAGAGCCAAACTGCCACAACTACATCATAACTGCACTTTGTGTGCTTGAATGTATATAGATCAAGTAGGGTCCTTGCTCGTTCAAGGATTTCCTTTTTTAATAAAATCTGTGAGGATTCAGTGCTTTTTCTTCCCTTGAGTTTGTTCTTGCTGCTAATTCCCACTAAGTAGAAGAAGTCAGAGCAAAACAGATACATTAGAGTATTTCTAGACTGTTAGTCTGTCACACGTATAGATACCTACTTCAACATTTACACTTTGGTAGTCAGAGTTAACAGGTAACCAGCTACTGTTGCCTTCAGTGAAACCAGCATTATCTGTGCCATCCCACTGCATGGGGGATTTCTCTGGAAAGGTCACCTAGAAAAAAAGGTGGTGAACAGAATATTAAAAAAAATATCCCTTGAATAACATGATGATCTTTTGGAAGATGTGAGAACATTTCAGTATTGCTTTCTTTGGTTTAAGTTAAAATTTAGTAAGAAGGATGTAATCCTGCTCCAAATCCAAGGAGAAAAAAAGAATCAAAACAGTTCCTGAAATGGAGGAGAGTGAATGACCTCACATATGGGTGTCCATCTCCTCTCCCAAGTAACAAGCAACAGAACAAGAGTAAACGGCCTCAGGTTGCACCAGGGAAGGTATAGCTCCAACATGTGGGAAAATGTGTTCACAGAAAGAGTTGTAAGGTGCTGGAACAGGCTGCCCAGGGAAGTGGTGGTGTCACCATCCCTGCAGGTATAAAAGACATGTGGACGTGGTGCTTGGTGACATGGTTTAGTGGTGGACTTGGCAGTGCTGGGTTATTGGTTGGGATTCTATGGTCTTGATGGTCTTCTCCAGCCTAACTGATGCCATGAATCTATATCCAGCATCACTGGATGTAAAATCCAGAATTCCCAAGGGACTCTGCTAGTGCTGTCTCCCCTTCCAGCACAGGGCTGGATAAAAGTTTCCTGATGACAGCCAGGATACTCTGACAGATATTTAGACATGCAGTGAGTGAATATGCGAGATAATGAGATGCTGTTAAAGTAACAGTAAACAACTAGTAAATGCTATTCAGTGTCTTGTTTTGTAGCCATCGCACTTGGCACCTTAGAACTCTTCAAACTTGGATTTGCAAAGGGAACAATTTGGACAGGATTGTTTGTGTTGGAAAGAAAACATTATTTCCAAGTGAAAAAACTTTATCGAAAATCAGCTTTTAGCTGATTAAAAAGTGTCGATGTAAAAAGTCTGAAGCTCTCATTTTGAAGGGTTCAGAAAAATTCTGAAAAAAAGCTTCCTCTTTGTTATTGAAGAGCTGCCAAAAGATCTGACACTTAAATTTAATGATATAAGAGGGCATAAAATATTTTGCATATACTTTGAGTGTTTGTTTTCCATGAAAACTGTTTTTCATATAAAGGGCACTTTTCAATACAATCTGTCAGAACAGCAGCTCAACAAAAGAAATTGTCACTTTGCTTTGTGACATTATAAATAATGGGTTTCTCCTTTTAGCACGTTCTGAAAAGCAGGGGGAAAAAAAAATCCCAAGTTTTCAACACTGGTAACACTCTCTTTCATCTTTAACTTTCAGCTTCACCTGGAGTGTTTCAGATGCTGGGGCTAGAAACTAACCTGCACAAGTGCTCCCCATCTTCCTAAGACACCCAGTAATCAGGGAGTCTTCCTCCCCAGACTGAGTGACGAGCGGGCTCACGTCGTTACAAAGCCGCTCACCACAGGGTAGCCCTACAAGAGCAAACCCTGAGGAACCAAGGCAAGCCACTTCTCTGAAGAGCATCACTCTGTCAGCAGGCAGCAGCAGCAGCAAGAAAACAGAGGAGATAGTTTGACCTAGGTGTTTCTCAGAGGAAATGAGGTTTCCTTTTAAATCAGAGATTCATCTGAATCGGACAAACCCGGCGATGATCCTGTGCTTCTTCAAGTGCCTCTTCAATCCAAAGCCAGCTGACACGGCTGGTAACGTCGTCAGGGGCTGTCTCATGCCCCCACAGCCCTTCCACAGCAAAACCAGCACCTGCCATGGGGCTGCGTGCTCACGGAGCACCAACACGGCCGTGAGAGGCAGAGCTGAGCTGTTCCCTGCTGGTCATGACCTCTTCCAGTCATGCTCGTACATCTTGGGCAATGAGACACCACAGAAGCCAGGTATGATCACAGAAGAGACAAGAAATCACAGGGGCTGAACAGGAAAGCTTTTAAGTTATGCGGGTCAGCACAGTGTGAAAGGCACAGACACTTTGTTTTAAGCCCTTGACCTTGAATAAACTTCTGAAAACTTGTGTCATCTAACAAACAGCCTGTCAGGGGTGACTTGTGGCTCTGATCAAGTGAGCTAAGCACCTGGTGCCCAGGCTCAGGTACCTAAATCCTCCACAGAAGGATCTAAAACAACAACAACAAAAAAAATAACTGTGTGACAAGCAAGAGTCACTTCTGTTTGCCACCAGGCAATGATAAACAGGGGTTGGTCTGTACACCCACCCCTTTCTGGGGATCCCTTCTGCAAGGTTTGGGCATGCTGGGCAGGTGAGACAGGTGCCTGTGCATAGAGTGAGATGGTGACTAGCCACAGCATCTCACAAGCTCCAATTTCCTTTAAGCAGCAGCCAGGAAATGATGGACTTTGAGATAGTGATTAGGCTGCTTCTGTGGGAGGAAGGAGACATCACAGAAAGTCATTTACACAGTGAGAAGGACTGAGTTTGGTTAACAAAACTTTGAGTATTTTTGAAAGTTCTGTCACTCGGAACTCAACAACAGGATCACAGTTTATAAGCCCTTCACTTACGTTTTCTGTGGCAATGTTCTCCATGCCTATTTCTTCCCCATAGTATGTTACAGGAGTACCAGGGAGGGTTAAAAGCAGCATGTTCATAACATTGATGTACTCCTTCCCAATCCGAGAGGAAATCCGGGCAGCACTGGGGCTTCCAACCTGAAGAAAACATCCTTGTCTTAAACACACACTATAAAATTCCATGCCTATGTCAAACTGGTGAACTAATTTAATAAGGTTGGGGTTGTGTCTTGTTCTTTTTTCTTTCCCCTTCTAGGCTGGTGAGGACAATTATCTTTTTCATCTTGGTGCCAGGACAAACTTCTGCCCCAAATAATTATGGCCAGAGATAATTGTACCAATCCCACCCTCACTGGTGGTTTAAGCCAATGCCCCATTCTGTGCTGGAGACACCGAGGGAGAGGCGTGACCATCAGCTCCCTTCTGTCACCCTTTTACTGAAGGGCAGGACAGACAGACAGCTGGCCAGTGCCAACAACTGTGACCACAGCAGCTGAGAACTTCACACTGGTATCTACTATAGCTCAGCCCTGGGCTCAGCCTGTTGCTGATCCCACTGAAATCAACGGATGAAGGGACGATGCGGGGTTAGGGATGGAGTTTCTATCACCTACATGCTTCTATCAATCACCTAAAGGAACAAGCCCTTTCTATAGGAGCTGCTCTACAACTCTTACCGCCCAGTTTGGCCAAGGGACGATAGGGGGATAGGGATGGAGTTTCTATCACCTACCTGCTTCTATCACCTAAAGGAACAAGCCCTTTCTATAGGAGCTGCTCTACAACTCTTACCGCCCAGTTTGGCCATTTTCCTGCAGGCAGATTTTTCATCCACAAGTTGACAGCTTCAAAAACACTGTTGCCTGATAGATTTTTCATGTTAATTAGGTTGAAATTGAAGGGAAAATCTGCTTCTCGAATAAAATTTGTTCCATAATACATCATTGTTGCTTCAATGTCTTCCTCTTCATCACCATCAGAACCCATAAATCTACAAAGAAGTACACAAGTCCCTTTTTTGGCTCATTCTTAGTTAGCACGGAGCAGAAGGAAGCTAGGAATGATGTTGGACATATAACACAACACTAAGAAGGATATTAATTTCCCTCCTCCTCATCAAAAAGGATTAATGTGAGGAAGCAATATTTTGTAAATCAGGCAAGGAGACAAGGAGAAAAATCTACAAGAGTCAATAAAAGGCTGTAAGGATCTGAATTACAAGTCTTATCTTTCTGATTCCACATCCACACGCTCCATTCCAGCAATTTCCATGCTCTCCTTTACAGAAAAGGACCTGGGGGGTCTCCCAGGTTGAACATGAGCCCACAACGTGCGCTTGCAGCAAAGGTGGCTAGTGGTATCCCAGCCTGCGTTCAGAGGAGTGCTGCCAGCTAGTCAAAGGAGGTATCTTCTCCTCTACTCAGCATTGGTGAGGCCACACCTGCAGTATGCTGTCCAGTTCTGGGCTCCCCAGTGCAAAAGCAGCATGGACATACTGGACAGAGTCCAGCAAATAGCCACCGTGACCATTAAGCATCTGGAGCATTTTTCCAAGGAGAGGCTGAGAGAGCTGGGACCGTTCAGCCTGGAGAAGAGAAGTCTCAGTGGAATCTTATCCCTCCAAACATCAGTAAACTTCTTTAAAAAGTGGGTGACTGAGCCCTGGCACAGATTTTCCAGGGAGGTTGTGGTGTCTCCATTCTTCAAAATGTTCAAAACCCCTCTGGACAACCAGCTCCAGGAGGCCCTGATGAGCCAGGGGGTTGGACCAGATGACCCCCAGAGCCCCTTCCAAACTCTGTGACTTAATAGTCTCTTTACCACATGCCTGACAAGTAATGTAATGACCCACGATCAACCCCACTGGGCTGATGAATTACAGTGTCTCTGTGATCCAAGTGGTGGCTTATTCTGCTCAGTTCTGTACAATCCATAGGTACAGTAGAGCCACCGGGGCGCATTAATTTCCTGTCCTCACAGATTGGGGAAGACACAGGACAAGCTACACACTGCTAGTTGCATTTGATGAAGAAAACTCTTTATGGCATATTTCACTATTTAAAAAAAAAGAAAAGAATCACTTTATAGCTAGCAGGAGGGTGACAAACACAGTGAAAACCACCCACTGTCCCAACAGGTACCTGTACCGGCCGGGTTCACTGCTGAACTGATCCATGGTGTGGCGGAAGCCGCGGACAACGTCGTGCATGCCAACCTGCGTGGCTGTGTAGTCGTGGTGGAGCTGGGAATAGGCTGTGATACTTTCCTTAAAGAAGGCAACATTGCCCATTAGTTCACCGAGTTCAGTTAGGAGACTGAAGCATCTCTCTTAGGAGGAAAATTAGTTCACCAAGTTGACTTAGGAGACTGGAGCGTCTCTCTTAGGAGGAAAGGCTGAGAGCCCTGGCGCTGTTCAGCCTGGAGAAGAGAAGGCTGAGGGGGGATCTTATCAAGGCTTATAAATATCTAAAGGTGTTTGTCAAGAGGATGGGGTCAGACTCTTCAGTGTTGCCCAGGACAAGGGACAAAGGGCACAAACTGGAACACAGGACGTTCCATCTGAAGATGAGGAAGAACTTTTTTACTGTGAGGATGATGGAGCACTGGAACAGGCTGCCCAGAGAGGCTGTGGAGTCTCCCTCTCTGGAGATATTCAAAGCCTGTCTGGATACGTTCCTGTGCAACCTTCTCTATGTGAACTTGCTGGAGCAGGGGGGTTGGACGATACCTCCAGAGGTCCCTTCCAACCCCTACCATTCTGTGATTCTGTGAAAATCAAATAAAAAGTAACAGGGTGCACGCTTCTGAATGTGTGTGCGTGTTCTCACTGTGACATATTGCCAATACGAGGGGGTTTGAGTTTGACTCTGATTCCTGCTAGCAATGTAGAATATGTGCTAGTGACTGCTCCTGAATGCCAAGCAGGCAAGGGCTCTGAGCTTACCTCCTGTGCTGGGCTCCCTAAAGACAACCAACCACCTGTTAAAATCCTAAGACCAGTCTTTTTAGAAAATTGAAAAGCAAATTATTTTAAACAGGAAATTCAAAGCAGCAGTGTTAGAACAGAAATACCAAGTGTACGTGGACAATTCTCCTTCCACCCACAGTGCTCCTGCTTGCTGGTATCTCACTGACCTACACCCTCAGCCCAGGGGCTTCTTTTTCCTTCTTTCATGTGCCCCTTCTGCAGAGCAGCCAAGAGCAACCTGCCTCCCACGGGACAGGCCGAGCCGAGCCCCCCTTCCTACAGCCACAATGAAGACCCAAAGGAGTAAAAACATACACTCTTGCTCCAGTAGGAAATACAGCAGCAAAAAGCAAGGACAACATATACATTACTGGATTCTGAGACTTGTTCACAGGAGGCTCATCTCGGAGATGTGTTGCTTCTAAAAGAAATTTAACGGCGCCGAAACTAAATCCATCGATTCCTTTGCCAAGCCAAAATTTGATAATGTCCTAGACAAAGGTAAAAATTGAGACATCCCAGTGAGCTCACCCCAGTACAAAAAAAGTATATAATTTAAAAGAAAACTAAACCTGTTAGGAGGCATTAATATGTGACACACTATTTTTTAATTTGTACTTCAGATTTTACTAGAAGCTAATCATGTCAATCTAAGGGCAAACTAAGATCTAAATAAAGTGTGTCTTACTATTTCATCCAGTAAAAAAAGAGACTGCTCTGTAGCTTCTCCCATAATTAAGGACACCAAAGCCAAGGCATACTTCTAACCTCATCCATCAAAACAACTGTGCTCTTGTTGGTGAACACCCATCGTGGCTGCACACGAGTAGGACACATTCATTAAAGTATGCAAGAAGATGTTGTCCTGCACAGACCTTGTGCCATCAACCTTCTTTTTATACCATAGAGCTCTTAAAACATTTGTTCTCTCTTACTTAACTGATGTGATATTTTTTATTTTATTTTCAGGCTTATTTGTCGATTTGCAGGAACATGAAAAATTATTACCCAATTTAACTGCCACCTATTTGTAATTTCACTATCAAATTCAGAGGTTAGTTTATATGAGTAAAATTATATCCTACTTCAGTAGCTATTATCAGTTTTAATGGCTTCAGTTTTAACGGCTTCAGTTTTAACAACCATTTTAAAAGCTCAGTCCCCTCTTGAGTGGTTTCTGGGAATGTTTTTTTAGACCAGATTTTTTTCTTCACATGAGGACAAAACCTTTTTTTTTTAAAAAACAGACAGCAATTGACTTGCCTTTAAGTGTGTGAAGTACTCAGATGTAGACAGCTCGAAACTCCCTCTCTCCCCCTTACCCACAAGCCCAGCCAGTCCTTGTAATTCAAATCAGCACTGCCTCATTCCTTGAAAAGGCAAACATCTCTCCGCTGAGGCAGGATGCCATCCCCACATCTGCCTGGCTCATTAACAGCTCCTTGTATCAACAGAGATAAACACTCCTCCCTGGAGTCATTCAGCTCTGTTTCAGCACAGGCTTCAGTGCAAGAGCTGCTTTACCTTCCAAGTTAATCCTTCTGTTAATTTTTCTCCTAGATACAACATCCAAACTAAGCACCTTCATCCTTGGCTCTGGATGGAGACCTGAGCTGAAAACAGTTTGCCTGCTTCCAGACAACAGTCATGTTGGGTTATTGGGGTGCTAGCATCAACTTCAAAGCAAGTAACAGCAATCTTAGGTTGCAGGGAGGAAAGTACCTATGTCACTGTACAAGATTCTGCCCAGGCATCTTTTCTCTTCACTTTGTTCAATTCTGGCTATCCATATTTATGAAAAAACTCAGGCTGGAAGTGCTGCAAGGAGCAAGCAGCGGCTGAACAAAGGGATGGAAAGTCTCCCACTTGAGGGAAGACTGGAAAAGCCCACCCCATTTAATCTAGCACCTTCATCCTTGGCTCTGGATGGAGACCTGAGTTGAAAACAGTTTGCCTGCTTCCAGACAGCAGTCATGTTGGGTTATTGGGGTGCTAGCATCAACTTCACAGCAATGTTAGGATGCAGGGAGGAAAGTACCTATGTCACTGTACAAGATTCTGCCCAGGCATCTTTTCTCTTCACTTTGTTCAATTCTGGCTATCCATATTTATGAAAAAACTCAGGCTGGAAGTGCTGCAAGGAGCAAGCAGCGGCTGAACAAAGGGATGGAAAGTCTCCCACTTGAGGGAACACTGGAAAAGCCCACCCCATTTAATCTACCTTAACAAAAGCTGAACGGGGGCACGTTGTCAGAGCTGAAAAACAAATAAGCATAAAGAAGGGTGGGAAAAGCTATTTCAGCTGAAGGACAGATTTGATTAAATTCATAGAAAGCTATGTATGAGCAGTTTGTGAATAAGGTTCAGCTGAAAAGTAGAGGGCTCCTGAAGCTTTCAAAGCAATTTTAAGACAGCCTTTAGCAGGAAGAGAAAGGGAACGGGATCTGCTTTTAAAGTGGCACTGCCTGTTCCAACAACCCATCAAGATCTTGCCAGGCCCTTAGGCCAGCAGAAAAAGCAACAGTCATACCTTCTTTAAATCCAGAGGACTGCAACACCACCCCTCCTGCCACTACCTCCTCTCAATGACAACTTCATCGGATTTTTTTTTTCTGGTTGCTTGTTTGCTTTTAAATGAGGAAGATTTGAAGCAGAGTAGCTCAAATGCTGGAAGCATTATAGCATAAAGCGTTAATTTTTCTTATAAACTTAACGTGTGTCTACACATCTTTTTGTTCCAGTTGTTTACATATGCCACAATCCTTGAATTACTTCCAATTAGATTGTAAATTGTATAGCACAAATCATCAGGGAAAGGAAGTGTACAAGTGGCTGCTTTGCTGCTGGCACAGCAGCAGTGGGTTATATACTTACATCCATTTCTCGTTGGACAGCGGGGTTGCGAAAATTTAAGTCTGGCTGTTCTTTCCCAAACTGATGAAAATAGCATTGCTTTCTCACATCATCAAACTGCCAGCTGGAATTCCCAAAGACACTCACCTGCTCATGTAAGGGAGGGGAATAATCAGAACTCATTTAACAAGCATTTACTCCTGTGCATACCAAGATGTGGTGCATTACAAGCACATAATAAAGCACAAAATGCCTAACCAGTGGAGTAACTTTTGAGCAGATTTTAGTATTTTAAACAGTTTGTGCCCAATGATCCCTTCCTGTTTGAGTGAGTGAAGATTTAACACTGAGGTAAAGAAACAAAAATAATTTTTAAAGTTCTGTTTGCAGCAGGAACTCCTCTCCCTGAGCTGGTTTAAATCTCAGTTTGTGCTAGGCCATTTAGTCACACCCCTCAACTTATAACCCAGAGCACACGGAGGGGAACTGTGTTGGAGCAGCTTTTGCTGTGTGGCAGCCTGCACCCAGCTTGGGGTTTGCAGGTGCCCCTTCCCAGGCTTACCCAGTTGTTGGGAGGAGTGACCAGGCCGGAGGGCTGCAGGCAGTCCTGCCAGATGTAGTAGTCTGTGTACTTCCCAGTCCGACTGCGACTCAGCTGAAACCATCGGTGTGTGTCGCTGGTGTGGTTCGGTATGAAATCCATGATCACCTTTAGCCCTTAAAAATCAAGCCATAAAAAAAAAAAAAGCATTAAATTTGGTTCACATTTTTTCTCAGGGCAGGCAGTGTTTGTGCTTCTTCTGTCCCAAAGGTCTGGCAAAAGAGAGGGGTGAAAAAACAGCACAGAAAAGCCCCACCTTGCCAACAGTTAGACTATTAGAGTCTGCAAGTAGCTGCAACACATCCTGGTGATATTGTTGCCTCCGGCCCATTGCTGGGCAGGGAAAGAAAGGGGAATGAAAAAAAAAAAATCAGAACAGGTTTCTGTTGTTACACACCTCCTCCAGTAACTGACTGACTTCAACACTTGTCTCCCACCCCCCAGGTGGGAAAGGCGCTTCATCACTCTAGCACCAGTGAACACATCATCTTCCTCACCTTCCCTACAGACTAGACTTTTTTTTAAATCCCAAATGTTTTTGGGACTGGCAAACCATTTTCCATTCAACCCAACAGCTGTAGGCAGAAACACCTAGCCAAACATTTGGTCTAAGGCATAAAACATTGAATGGTTTGGGTTGGAAGGGACCTTAAAGATCATCTGGTTCCAGCCCCCCTTCAATGGGCAGGGGCACCTTCCACTAGACCAGGTTGCTCAAAGCCCCATCCAGCCTGGCCTTGAACACTTCAGGGAGGGATTATACACATCTTCTCTGGGCAACCTGTTCTAGTGTCCCACCACCCTCATAGGAAAGAGCTTCTTCCCGATTTCTTGGTTGGCACATTTTAAATGCATCAGCCAAGGATGCAATTACAGGAAGGAAGCGTATGCTCCCTCCCAACCCCAAAACTGCTTCCCTGCTTCCTTCAGAATGCAGCCATCAGCCACAAAGTTCAGCCAGAACAACTGCATCTCAGCTTTGATCCCCCCCAGCCCATCAGTGTCCACACCATCGGCACCAGCATGCACAGACAGCGCGTCAGGCCACCACTCACCAACGTTCTCAGAGGGCACCATGCCTTGGCAGACAACACAGAGCAGCCTGATGCTGCTGTTGTAGCTCTCTGTGCCTTTGGTCCTGCTCCAAGCAGTCATCCAGTGCCCAAGGGCAGGAAACTTGCTGTGGAGCTAACCTGGACCCTTCACTGGCACCTCCAATGGTCCTGCTCAACGCCATCGTGGGGGAATTGCCAGGTGCACAAACTGAAGCCCCAAATCATAATGTAGTGCTACAAGGTACACCTGTATCATGTGAGTGAATGTCTTTTTAGTAGTTATTTTGCTTGGAGTTGCAGCTCACCTCTGTCATGGATGGCTGCAAGCAGATCCTCAAAATCACTCATCGACCCAAACATGGGATCAATATCATAGAAGTCTTCAGCTCCATATCCAAGGTCTTTTAAGGGGGACTTAAAGAAAGAGGTGATCCAGATGGTTCTTATATTCAAGTATGTAATATGGTCCAGTTTTTCTTGGATACCTATTTAAAAGAAAAGGGCATCAGCTGCTTGGAGAAGGCAAAATATTTTTCTTGAAGTAAGTTTGCCATGGGCTCTGAGTCAAAGACAGTGCAGGGGTCCCTTTGACACCAACCATCCCCTCTGCACTGGCCTCAGGTCGTGGGGCAATCTTGACACTTCTGCAGGGATAGCATGAGGTCACAAACGGGAAACCATTCAAAGCCAATTTTTACAGAGAAGATAAAGCAGGAATTCTAAAATATCAGATTTTAAAAAAAGTCTATTCTGTATTACAAAAATATTTATAATTCCATTTAATAAATTTCACACTCACTTTTGAAAACCAGACTCTGTATTTTGTTACAATGCTCCAACTGCGTTGCTTTCCCATTTCAAGGGACATCAATTAATCCTCAGACTACCCAAAGGGAGGCAGAAGTTTAATGCAAACATCCCAGGTACTCCTTGCCTTAGGAAAAATCTCGTATGGGATTTTTCTCTTGTTTCCTCTAAGGACACCTCACTCCAGACTCCCCTAGTATTTTTAATCCCAAATCTTTCCTATATCTCCCTGACATGCAACTACAGAAACAGTTTCTTGCCTTCACTTGCCAGTAGAGTACACTGGAGTTAGTGCTTCCTGTTTAGAAATTTCCTGTCCGTTATGGTGCTGAGCCTTCCCTTTCTGAGGCAGTAGCTAAGCTGCAGGCAATGGCATTGCCTCCTGGTACCTGCTACCCCTTCGCAGTGCACTCCTGGGAGCTCCAAACCACCTAGACAACAATCAAAACAAAGTCACCCATATTTCTCTCCCCTCTGTCAGTTTTATTATTCCTCACTTTTCCTTATGGAAAGGCAGCCAGCTGAAGAGGACAAAGTGCTCAGCACCACCCGTTCCCGTGACTGACCTCAGTTTTGGGGAGGTATTTTGCTCTGATGGCAGTCCTGATGCCCTCAGCCCCACCTCTAAACATCCCTTCTAACTCCAGGCTTACACTTAGCAACTTGAGCATGCAGCTCCTAGATTTATTCATGATAATGAGTTGCAATTAATGATTAGTCAGATAGCTTCTTCCCTTCTCTGCCAGGGTGGCTTTCTCTGCTGGATTGTACGGTGGGGTTTGGTTTTTCTCTTAATATAGCTATCTATACAGACATATACAGCAGGAGAGCTGCCACCCAGCTTTGCCCATAAGAATGGAAGTTCACCCACCTTTCAGGTCCCCATTCCCGTCCATATTGCTGTCCCTGAAGGAGCGAGGATAGATCTGATAGATAGGACCAGCCTGCCACCAGTCAAGGCACTTTGGGGAGAGAGCAATAATAGCAATCGTAGCGCACACGAGCGCGACGGCAGCAGCAATGATCTTCTCTGCTAGGGTGGCTTTCTCTGTTGGATTGTACGGTGGGGTTTGGTTTCTCTTAATAAACCTATCTATACAGACATACACAGCAGGAGAGCTGCCACCCAGCTTTGCCCATAAGAATGGAAGTTCACCCACCTTTCAGATCCCCATTCCCGTCCATATTGCTGTCCCTGAAGGAGCGAGGATAGATCTGATAGATAGGACCAGCCTGCCACCAGTCAAGGCACTTTGGGGAGAGAGCAATAATAGCAATCGTAGCGCACACGAGCGCGACGGCAGCAGCAATGATGAGCCAGAAGAGGATCTCTCTGGTGACTCTGTACCGGGCTTGGCTGGAGAACTTCATCAGGACTTCCTTTGGCATCCCTGCATAGGGCTTCAAGGCCAGCTCCTCTGCAGATGCCGGGTCCACCTCAACAATGCACGTTTTTGGCATTGCTTCTTGGCTATCGGTATCAGCCTCCTTGTCGTCAAAAGCCTCATTCTGAACAAATCCGTTGTTCTCCACACCACCTTTCTCGCTCAGCTCCATAGGTAAGCTCTTAGCTTCCTCCTCAACCATTTTACTTCACAGGTCTTGTCCTGGAGCCTGCCGGCAGCAAGGAAGCGTTGCCCACACCTTTGTTCAGGGAAACGAGAGGCAGCGTCATTAGCATCTGGGTTTATAATCAATCCCCACCAACTGGTCAAAGTTCAGAAAGAGACAAAAAAAGGGGCAAAGTGCTCCAGCTCTTCTGCATAATAGGCATCTTCAGCAAGATAACAAAACACGACAAGAAAGCACAGTCTTCCGGGCAGGGAAACCTGTTGCTCACGACAGCTGAGTGGAGTCCCGTTTATGGTGGCTCCCCCAGTACACCCGATTTCCCCCTGCTCTCAAAGGGAAGAGAAGTTTGAGGCATTTTACCAGTAAAAGGCTTACTCAATACGCAGCTTTCCAGACTGGCCGTGGTCTCCCTTGCCTAAAGCAGCCTGAGCATTAATGAGTAATTTAGACAGGGATAGGAAGACAAGGAGGTGTTGACAACTTCTGGCCCAAAAGCAACAATACAAAGGAACTAATGAGTAAAGATACAAAGGCCTGTTACGCTTTGTTTCACGCAGCTTAAAAAAACATCGCCCCCCAGAACTAACCCAGCCCACCCACAGCTCTTCAGCAGCACGCAGGATCAGGCACATACCGGTCCTGCCATTCACAGCACATCACAGGTTGCTACACCCAGCGCTACCCCCGGTCCCGAGAGGGCAGCGCTGCACAGGCTCGACAGAAAGTACAACTACCCACTATTAAAAACTTTTTTTGGATGTTGCTGCAATTTGTTCAAAGAAAAAAGACCTTTCCCGTCTCCCTCTTTCCCCTCCGTCTGTTGATGTAGCCGGGGAAAAAGCATTGCCTGAAGCCTGCACCAGCCTCGCACAGATTTACACATCTATGTGCCCTGAAGGCAGGGAGCCGCCAAGACATCCCCCCAGGCTGTGCCCTCTGCCCAGGCATTCCAAGGGAACACAAAGCAATACACATTTCCCAAGGAGCTGCCTTATCACATGCAAAAGCAAACACCTGCCCAGCACCGCGGGGTCAGGGTCCCGGGAAAACTCCCATGGGCAACTGCAGTGGAGAAAAGGTTGGGTTTGGCCTCAAAAAAGTATTTATTGTGTTTGCCTCAAACCATGGAAGAAGTTTATAAACTAATGACTGAAAAAAAAAATCCAGCATGCAATATTCAAATAATTTAAAAAAGTGTTATTTCTTCAGGAGCTAAGAAGAGGTCTTTGACAAATTGAATCCTTTTCTTCCTCACAGCAGCACCTGGCAGCAGCCTTGGCCTGGGCAGTCAGCAAGCAGTTCCCAGAGCATTCGAGATAACAGCAGTAATGTCAGTCCCTGTAATTCAGTATTGCCAGGAAATTCAGATGTAGGACGTTGTTTGACACAGTCTCCCATCTAATGACTATGCAGCCTTAGCATCATCGTATCAGAAAGGGGTAAAAGTTTCCAGGCAGGCACAAAATACTCAGGGTATAAGCTTGTATTTGGTCATTATGCCAACCCACCACCCCCACCCACACACCTTTTGATGGTTTCAGGTATTTAATTTCTGATGAAATTGGAAATGTGTAAACAGAGAATGCACCACACACACCTCGAGAACTCAGTACGCCTCGCTTGGCTTTTCCCCAGACTCCAAGGTTTAAACACACCCATGGCTCCTGCACTACCCAAAAGCTCCTTCCAGCACCCGAGTACAGCTGACAGCAAAGCAAGAGCCAAAGCCAACCAAAACGCACCTAGCTGCCATGGACACGGGGGTCAGCCAAGGATGGACCTGGGACACTGGACACAGACAGGGCTCACTGCCAAGGGCAGGGAAGTCCAGGAATAGACACCTAGTACCTTCAGTTCTGGGTTCTTGGGGTTTGGGGATTTTTGGTTGTTCGTTTTGCCCTCCCTAGAGCATAAACTTGTTTCTATATTGTGGGGCTGCCACAATACAGGATCAGAGTTGAGAATACAGATCCATCTCTCTATATAAATATATATATTCTGTGCCTTTTCACTGCCCCCCAACAATGCATCTGACCCTTTGAAAACCTCATCACTCACCACTAGAACAAAGCCAAGTCTCTCAGATGACACACTGCAAAAACAAGGCCTGTAAGATAAGGCTTGGCTCCTGTGCTGCTCTCTAGAAAGAGAGAGGTAAGCAGTATGTGAAAAGAGTTAAATAAAGGACAGTCACTGAAAAAAAATCAACTATGAGTAACACTGACAAGCAGACTGTACATTAGTTACCAAAACATTGTTTTGTTTGCTTATTTGCTTTTTATTTTTAAAACACATGCCCAGCCATAGCATCCTATCCAGCAGGGCCAGCCACCACCCTGCTCATTCCACCTGCTTCCGACAGGCCAACAGGAACTGGGAAAAAGCCCCCTGCACTGGCAGGGAATACAAAGAATGTTTTCACACTAGAAGGCAACTGCATGACAAAACAGCAAAGCCTCAACAGTGACACAACCGAATTGCAGTGCTTCTTTTCCTGTCTCCATTTCTCAGGGTAATGTCACCCTGACAGGGGAGCCCACAGAGCTACGGCCAGTCATGCTGTCAGTCTGGCTGGCACCACACCATGGCTGCAGCCTGCAGAACTTGCCACAAGTCACAGTCTGCATCTCTCTTGAAGAATACAGCCCGAGTTGGAGGATCTTCATGTTCAACTATTTCACAGCACAGGCATACAATGACAGAAGGTGGGTGTCTGAGCCTTTACAAGCTAGAGACAAATCAGCACTTCTGCAAGTCCCAGGAAGCATCTCTGGTACATCACTTGGACATGGAAATGTGATTTGTCATAACAAATAGCTGTTCAGTAGGTATTTTTGCATCTAATTCACCAGCATTTAGTGCTAACTAAACACCTCTTTTCCCTGACTGCTTGTTCCTGCCTTGCATTGCCCCCCCACGTTGTGCCAGGTGAAGTGTGGAGAGAGCTGCACTGTGAACCACACTGGGAAACAGATTTGGCTGAAGGAAAAAAAAACCAAACCACCAACTTTATCCTTCAGACAGTTCTATTCCTAATCTGCCTGGTCCCCACGAGACCACAGCAACGTTTCAGCCAGCCCAGCAAAGGGAGGAGGAGGAGAACAGGCAGAGAGAGGGAGCAGGAGAACAAGGCACAGCCACTAGACCAAGCAACTCTTCAGTCAAATCAGAGCTTTTGTGTCTCACATCTGTTTTAGAGCATTCCTGCCCATCCCCTACAGAAGTCCTATCATTTCACTTCCAGGAGCAGAAAGCTCACACCCTCAAACACTGCTGACATCAAAGACAGGGAGAGGGTTTAAGTTCTGGGGGCTTACCCCCAGTCACAAATGACATCTCCAGAGGAGCAGCGACCTAACCCCACTTCACCCAAGTACATCACTGCTACCCAAAACACTACTGAAACTCGCTCAAAGTGAGTATTTTCTGCCCCTCTCTTTTCTTTAAGCCAGTCAATTTAATGGTGACAAATTGTCTGCATGGATATTATCACTTGATCTGAAGATATAGGGAGGTTACCCTTCATAGGCATACTTCTTACAACCAATAAAAACCAATTTAGTATTTTGGCAGTCAGAAGCTGCTGCTGCTCTCCTTATGCACAGTTTGGAAACCGTTAGTTTCCCCTCATTTGACCATCTTGCAGGGGTGCAATGGCCAACGCTGGCTCTGTGAACCCTGCTGTGTGGGAACTGTGTCTTCAAAAGAGCCCCTCTCGTCCTAATGTAATCCCCAAGTAACATTAAAGGCTTATTTATACCTTAAGTAGGACAGATCGTGTCTTAATTGCCAAGTGCCTGGCTGAAAAGAGGAGGATTACGCCGCTGTGGTAGATTAAAGTAGCGTGCAGAGGCTGGAGGTCAGGTCTGCAGATGGATCTGTGTGCACTACCTCAGCCTTCCTCTGGTGGCTGCAGGGGATGTAAAGATACAGGGACACATGCAATTATTTTAAGGTTAAAAAGAACATGAACCACCCTGGAAACTACCAGGCAGCTGTCTCGCTGAACATGGTTTTTTTGGAGTCAAACTGTGCTTACAGACAGACTTCAATCGTATTTTGGATCAGCTCTGCTATGGAATTGCTGGTGCACAAGCAGGTAGGAGTGGAGTACAGGTACACTTAGGCTGGACTTCTGAACCTTGAACACTAAAAATTCTAGGAAACCTAGAGGGAAAATATAGCTAAAGAGCTTAAAATAGGTCTGGACAATCAACTACCACACAGCCTGGAGAACAAGCCCAAGAAACTAATACCTCCTCCTATATGTTTTTGCTCATAGACTAAAAATAACACCACAAAGTTATTTTTTTTTTTTGTTACAGAACTGCATTTTTTTTTTTTCCTCTCCTTGTCTTGAGGAGTTGTTCACCTTAGAATTATTTGATAAAGGGAAACTGTAAACTTCATCTTGAGAGAGGCAGATCACCAACAATCCCTACTGAGCTTTAACTTTTTCTTTTTATAATGTATTTTATGTATGCAGGCATTATGCCTTTGGCTTGCTCTCAAGCAATTCTGGAACGGTTCCCTCCTGAGCAATTTTACAGTTGAGCAGGAGTAACTAGCCAATGCCACTGCGTTAGTAGAACCCACTGAAAAGCATTAAACGGTAAAGAAAACACTTCACATTCTGTGCCAGTTACTCTGTTTACCTCAGGGTTAGATAGGGAAACAAAACCAATCAGTATGTGGGCAGTAATAGCTGCTATCTCCACACAGATTGCCATGGTTATTTCTATAAGATGGAGGTGTTAATTTCCTCAAGTATTTCTTATATATAATTACTTAGATGCACTGGCTGGCTAAGTAGTCTGCTGTTTGATGCTATACAAACGCCAAGTCGCTTGTCAGTGACTCGATACCCCACACATTACACCGAAATCCATACAGAGAGGTGATTAAGCACCCTAATGTGCTAAGTGTAGGAAGATGTTTATTGTTAAAAAGTTCTCTCGCTTAATGCTTTTTCATTAAACCATTGCTTACACCGGAGCTGGGCTGACATAATGCAC